TCAAAGTTAAAAGTTATCTATTTTCGGTTTCGTGTCTTGTAGTGAAATGCATGAAGTAATCTAGATTGTCTATTCTTTGTCTGTTTTTTACTGCTTGCGATTAGTTTTGTAACCATTTCATCGTAAAGATAATGGTCGTTATTATTATTATTATTTTTTGTCTGAAATTCCTTTACAGATTTAATATTTTATTCTTTTTTACCTCACTTTATCCTTTGTTTTTTTTCTCTCTCTAAAATTCAACGATTAAAATTATATTTTACCTGTTTGTTGATGTGTATTTTTAAATTTCGGTGGTTATTTGTTTGTCACAAGTTTTTTCCACCCTCTATAGTCTTGTTTGTTTTATCTCTCTTAACTAGTTTATATCATAATTGGCGAGACTAATTTATAGACGACCTTTGGGAGACACCAAAACGACCTTGAAAAACTTTAACCACTTAGTAAGATTATAAATTAGTGTGCGGAGTGGGGTCTAAGATTTAGAGTTAGAACTTAGAATTGAAAATTCGATTTGGGGTTTTCATCACGAACTGACATAATCTACAATGCCGAAATACTACTTAATCATACGGATGAATGGATTTCGCGCCAAAATCCCTAGATTCGCTATCTTAAATCTGATTGGTTCTTCGATAAATTATCCTCATTAGCGTAGGAGTTGTGGTAATTGATGATGTAGCTATTTCGTCTCAGTATAGGACTCTTCGATAGTGCTAATTCATGATCATTTTAGGGTGTCGAATCCAGGGTTTTTCAGACCGCTGAGTTAGTATCCAGTAGTTTATATCCGTAATTTCAGTCAATTCAAATCATGTACGTAATAATTACTAATTTCAAGAGGTAAATCCCAAAGTTCTGGTGTAAACCCTGTGACCAGTAAAGTTCAATTATGTTGTATATGATCGGATGGATGATTGTCTCACAATGTTGTGAATTGATTGACGTCGGAAATGTGAATTGCAAGTCTTATAGGCTCTCCAGTAACGGATTTTTTAGTGCTTTTGTATCTCATTCCTGCTACGAAAAAATGTGAAGGCGAGGTTGAAATAACTATTCAGTTCTCTCTCGTTCCTAAATAATCATCTAAGTGATGACCGTTTATGACGAAAATGATATTAAAGCAAAGCAGCGCATTAATTAATGTAGAGTCAGTACAAATAATTTGTTGAAAAAAAATTCCGTCACCTGTATTTTATGTCTTAAGAAAAATATTTTTGATAAACTGAAGAATTTTCACTTGGAAACATCTTTATAACACTATAGTGTTTATCTTCAAGAATTGTTGAATCAATTATTTCATCTATTTTAGTAAAGTTCAACTGTGGCAATTTGTAACACTATGAGTACCCTCGTTTTTCTGTACTTTAATTCAGCTTGGAGTAAGGCGTTCTTTTTGCACTTCGCGCCTTTCCTCTTGTGTTCGGATTGTCGGGCAAATTCGAAACGGCTAGGAAGTCGCATGGGGTGTTCAATTAGAAGACTTGTCAATATTGATAATTGAAAAGCAGACACACTACAAATTTACAGACACGTATCCCATCCCATGTTCTACACTCGACTATTACCCACAGTCCAGTTTTACTTAATCCTTACTGAATATACTTACAAGCTATCACTATCACACGGAATTAGGAACAGTAATACTGTCAATGTATTGAAATAAATCCTAAAATAAGCCATGTTTCATTCAATAACTTCTTATATGTTTATTAATTTTAAATATCTAATAACAAATTGTTATATATATATATCTGTCACAATATTGTCTATAACTGAGTTACTTAACTTATAGTGATAATCATTCAGTGAACGAAGAACTTAGGTGAAGAAGACCACAATAGTAGTTGCCTTGGTAACGAATACTTTTGTCTTTATAACAAGCAGATCAATAATCGAGACGAATCCACAAGAATAAACTCTGTTTTCCTCTCTTAACTTGTATAGTTTACGTAATAATTAAATGGCAAACGAACAGAGTTATTTTCTTTTTGGAGTCGCTTACATTTCTATTCTCACTTTCAATGCATTATTACTATCGTGGTAAATGTGCATTATCGAGTTTGTCAAACATGGATGTTACTGGTTTAAGGAGTTTGTAACATTGAAAAGTGGTTGGGGAATATCACGAATTAGTTGAAAGTAAACATGTAAACCATTTGAAACCAATTTACTAGTCCAAACGTTCGCTACTCGCCGTTCCGAGTCTTGAAAATTATGGGTTTGATCTCCGATAAGAGGTCGTTCATCTACATACTGCCATCGGTGTATCCCATACTAGTATGAAATAGGTGTCCAATGCTTCCTGGTTTTCAACAGTTATCATACTTAGGTCGGTTGGTGATGTAGGTTAAAATTATGTGTAATTACTCCATACTGATGACCGCACACAAAATACCAGAGATCATTACCTTCTTTAAATGATGTGCCTTTTAATGCTGTTGCAATTCTGTAACATGGACTGAAAACTTTTACTTACTAAATACCACAATATTGTATTGTTACCAGATTTAATCCTCATTGAAAGTATGATCTAAGTAAGGTAAACATTGTTCTATCTCCAAAAATGTTATGGTGCGTCCGAGGGCGAGAGAAGTTTGCTCTTCCTGTCGTAATGCTTTCACACGGTCATGTGTTTATAGCCTTTGTTAGGGAAGACTCCTACTTACTGCCCTTATGCAGCAGAGGTATTCTCTATGAAAGTAATAGAGCGAAAATTCAACGTGTCTCACTCAAAATAGGTAGTTTGATACTGAACCTCTCTATGAAAGTTGGAAAACTCCTATTCCTTATGGTACACATGAGCCTCGTAATCCTGAGGTAGTGAATAGCATATGAACCTATTTTTGACCGCCGGCTACCATGAGGAAGTATTTCCTCTACCTTATGGGTCAAACGTTTTGATCCAAAGTTCGAGAAGTGACTGCGTAGAAAAACTGCTTCTGTTTAGGTTTCCGAGCTGGCACACGACTTTTGACTTTTGTGAAACACACTATTTCTTTTCCTGCTCAGTTGTACTAGGATTTGTGTGAATTAATTAAATAGGAAGCGCAGATAAATTTGCTTAAAACGATTAAAAAGGCTTCGCAGTAAGAGTAATTAGCCCAGAGAGCACAACACATCTAAAAGTTTCATTCTTTCTATCGTAGTTCACTGCTTTACTTGACTGAACCCAATCAGCGTTTATGTTTGAAAAATGTGACTATAGTTATTCCTTCGAGTTTACTATTTTCAAAAAATTAAACATTTTATTTAACAATAACACTCACTATCTGAAAGAAATCATTTGGTTTCATGTTTCTAACTTCTATCGAAATTTTCTCAAAACTTTCTTCAGATCATAACAAAATTATTTTTAATGGTCTAGTCAGACAAAGCAAACGTTTATTCAAACAACAGAGTGCAGTTGTTTCGTCCTAGTATTCGAATCCCCACTAGTAATGTACACATCCGATACTATCAATGATTGAAACTTAGGACTTTCAAACTTATCGTTGAACGCTTAATCATTAGATCATTGATTTGACATCCAAGTGTACACATTTCCAACTTCAATTAATCCACAATACAAAGTAATTGACCACCCAATGTCAGGTGCACACTATTGAAGAGTCTTGTATTAGAACGACCAGCTGTCCGACTCCGACTGGTTTTCGTCAGTATCCAAACTTAGAAAACGGTCAATCTATGTGAAATCAAAATTGCAAATAAAATTGATCTCTACAAATCCACTTATTCCAATTCATTCGAATAGTTTATCTCATATCTTAATACACAATTTTTAATAAGTTTCCTCAGTATTTGTAATAAGTTACCTATTGTTACTAACGCTATCACTGAGTTATCAAAATAAAATGTTTAACCAATAACCAAATTATCCGACACAGTCTAACGAAACACAACAATTCGATTTATTGTAATTTGTCTCAGCTCGTAAAAATCTACAATTTTGTGTGTATGTGTTTACATTGTTTATGTCACCTCCTAGTATTTATTTAAACTTATGTTGTGGCCTGTGCTGTACCAAAATACAATATTGAATAAAGCCATTAATGATAATAATAATTTATCGCCGGTAATTATTTCTGATTGTAAACATAATGATTAACAAGCAACATTAATAATGACAACGTATACATTCATGTAGTCATAAGCAACTTAGAACCTAGCATATTCGTGTTTTGGTCATAATTGCCAGAGTAGAAGAAGTAATAGTAGTATCGATGGTAGTAAAAAAATTAAATATAGGCCGTGCCACCCAGTATCGGCAAATGCTGATTACGATAACCGTATACACTGCCACTAAGATTCTATTCAGCAACCAATAATTTCATCTGAGTAACGTGCACTTATAATCTTGAGGGAACTGATACTCTCCGTGAGATCCGAATCATACAGCTTCACAGTCTGAGAAATTACTTCTAAGCTATTCAGGTAGTGACTTTCCTGTTATAGGACTGATTATTGAGTGGCAGCCAATATCATATTTGTCCAATTCTTAGTGTTGATTGACTACCCTCAATCATTTAATATCAAAACTTTGTATTGTATAGTAACGAGAACGATTAACGTTTTGTGTTTGCGGTTGACCGACGGTAAATTCTACATACGAATGGTTTAGGATTCTTTAAGTGCAACTCAATGAATTGGGACTCGACTAAATTAGACGTCTGTCACGTATGAACACTTTAATCTTAATAATCCATTCGTTAATAGCGAAGATGAGACTTTCAGGATAACTTCACATTCCGTACAGAAGTTAAGTTTGAATAGTAACAACTCTCTTATCACCGTAATATTTAGTGACCTTAAGACATATAATAAAGGCAGGAAACCAAAAAGAGGTTATCCATTAAATATAAACTGACACGTACTAAAAAAACAATAGACGAACTGGTCTCTTCTAAACTAATATGATAATATGACTACTCAGCATTACTGTGAAGTATTGTTTAATTCTGTTTTCTCTATTGATGTTATTATTATTATTGTATAATTAGGTAGTTCAATTAAACCTGGCTATACTGGTGGTCAATTATCTTGCAACGATCAATTAAAGAGTAAAACATTATCAATGAATTATCCAACTTCATCACTGTCAGTTGGAAATGGGGGTATTAGACAACAATCGACCAATCGAATATTGTTAAATAAATCTAAAGCTGTTACACTGGATGGTCATTCTCATCTTTCACATCAATTGGATGTGAATGGGAGTAAGTTTGAACAAAAAAGCAAATTATACCTAGTTTATTTCATTTGTTTGTTCGTTTCAATTATGGTATTGTATAGTAACTATTATCGACAGTGGATTTTTGGTGGTTGTTGGATTTTCATAGTATACATAATGAACTGAAATTAATTACACAACTATTACAGGCCACGAATCACTGTTTCATCCTAGCACTTAAGATATTTAACCGATTGAGTGTTCAGTCAATGGTCTAAATGGTTAATCGCTCACTTCACGACCTGAACATTGTGAATTCGGTCCTCGATGGGGATGTGAATGTACATTGCTTTTAAGGATTCCTATGCTGGGAGGAACTAACTGTTAAATCTCTTCCGATTTTCAACAGTTGTCTAGATAAGGTCACTTCGTGATATAAATTGTGAAATAATAATTATTATTGTTGTTTTGTCTTTGTTAACGATTAATATTACTATTATTACAGCTTGAATGGTTTCGATCATTGGATTCTAACTCCATTAGTAGTTTAAAAACAAACACAACTGAGTATAATCAAATCTAGAGTTCATTTGCCTGATCTGATGTACAAAGCCCTTGAAGTAGTCTCATTCCAGGATAAAAATGGATTTGTTCATTACCTTAATTTTCAACAGTTTCCTAATCTATGACAAAAACAAAACATTAATTTGAAATAATTTCGCATAAAACTTTTAAGCAAATGATAAAAAATAACGTTTGGAACTGAAATTATCATTAATAAAGTAATGAAATATATCTTGATTTTTGTCAACGATAAATCCCATGAACAATAACCATTTCCGCCACATAACGATGGTAGAGCTTGGAAATAAACGCTAACCCAGTGTTTTCAATTGTTGTACATTGGCAGCAAGACCTGGAAGTCTTGGGTTTTCGATTATCTGAGAGGTCCAGTCATGTACTAAGATGAAACATATGCCCACTGAATGTTACCCCAACCGAGATCAGTCTGTGATGGATACAACTTATAAAATAAATTAAATTTCTTTATTTACGATTATTGCTATTGTTTCCATCACAGCGAAATTTACAAACGGCAACCTGCAACTAAGCAAACCTGATAATACTCAATCAAATACCAGTGATTCAGTACGAATTTATTCACCAACATCCGATCATCGCAATGCATCAATATATACTACTAGTATACTTCATGGAGTTAAACATAGTGGTACTACTACTTCGATTCTAAATGGTCATTCATCACAATATCTACAACAACATAATCTGATAGATTCAATCAGTGGTAAAGATTTCGATGCTGATCGTCGTCTGATTGGATCTAGTCCAAGTAATCCCATTATTCAGTTTTCATCATCATCACCAACTGCTATATCTCATAAGAAATCATCTTTACCTCAAGTAAGTATATCGTGGTTATTACAGTTGGTGTGTTTTATCGTCAAATTTATTTCAACAACTTTAAGTAGATTGGGATGGTGGCTAGGAGAGTAGCGCAGGACGTGTGATTCATTCCACTTGGGACTCGTTGTCTAGATGCGCCTGCACCCGTAATGATGTTCACTCCTGGACTCGAACCCAGTACCACTATCCTCAAACACTCAATGCGTTATCCGTTTATCTACTGAGTTCATATAGCCATTGACTTGTGCAATGTGTAGAATTTTGATTTGATGGTTTTGGTTGCTTACTTGAGATAGAATTCCTTACTAGATATTTTTTCCTTTCAGTTGATACCATATGAAAAACTGAAAGAATACAAAGGGATGTATCCCAAAGGAGTTGATCGTACAGCTGTAGAGGTTAGTTGTTTGGTACATAGTCGTTTTTTGTCCAATATTTAGTTTAGGGATGTTTGTGTAGATGGTGAAATGTTCATAGTTTAAATCACGAATTGGTCACAGTTACACCACTATTGAAAACCAGGAATCGGTAAACAGTTGTTTCGCCACAGTATTTCTGAACGCCACATGTCATGATTTTTCATTAGAATTTCAGGAGCATCAGTAACAAATAATAGAATTAAGCAATTTCGAAATGATCCCTATTTACGAATGGTTATATTGCAATAAATTTAAAGAGAGATAACAATCAATAATTGTTTTTTCCCTATATTGAGATGCCCGAATAGTATGGGTTGGCATCATTTCGATGCTATTCATGGTTTCCATTTTAAAAAACTGTTGAGTTTCATACTGGTCGATCTCTTATGTTACCGTTTCATTTCAGAGTTGTAATCTTGTCTGTATTTTTGACCATCATGCAACCTACATCGAGTAAACAATATTCAGCTTAAGCATAATATGTTCTCGGTTAAAACAAAGGTTTAGGTTCGTCGATGAGGTTTTGTAAGCACTGGATAGAACTTATTCACACGGTACCACCTACATATCCTAAGTCTGTTTGCCAACCACAGCATGTACCGTTGATCACTGCATTAAGTAAGTTTGAGGAAAGCCATTCCAACCAACACTAACTGATTAGCTTACCTGACTTGTGTGGTAATCTGTAGCGTTCTTGGTCGGTTTCGATGCTTTAATCCTGAAAAAGTACTGTTTAACTGATCTAAATTAGATAAGGTATAACAATAAAAGTTTAATATAAATTAACTTACCATTAGTTATGGTAGTCATAGTATTTTGGTTCAAAGCAAAAATACAAAATATCACATATAACCGGAATACATACGAATAATTCATGTCGGCGTGTTTTTATATAATGACTAAAATTTCTATATTTGAGTCATTTATTTATTTATTTATTTATTTGAACACATGAATATTGGTACAAGAGAGCGCCAATATATATGCGCCACACAAAACAATGAGAATTCGAAGAGAAGTAGAAAAAAAAACTAAGGAGCGCAAAAGAAAAAGAGAACAATGACGAAGAGATTGGAGTAAGGTAGTGTGGTAGAAACGACGGAACGAAAAGGTACAATCAGAAGAAATCTTTCAGGTAAAGGAGACACAACCACTTTTTATGAAGAAAGTAAAAGAAGGTTACAGCAGGATCGCCACTGGCTTCTATTCTGAGCCATATCTGATAACGTCTCTAGCCACTGTGTAGCACCATCTCTCAGACCCCAACCAGGGAGTCGTGAAGGACCAACAGAAGCCAGTCCTTTGCAGCTTTCTTTCATACCATGACACCATGTCATGCACTGACCACCTCTCCGCTTCTTCCAACCAGTCCCAGAGTCGGCAAATAATGCACGACGTGGAATTCTCTGGGACGACATTCGGAGAACATGTCCAAGCCACCGAAGTCGGTGTTTCAAGATGGTGACACCAATTGAATTATCATCTCTGTGCCCGAACACACGATCCCGAACCTCTGCATTACTGACATGGTGTTGCCACTGAATGTCAGCAATCCTTCGGAGATAGCGATGATCGAACACAGAGAGTCGTCTAACATCCTCAACTCGGAGAGGCCAGGTTTCACAAGCATAGAGCAAAACTGCTCTCACTGACGCGTTGTAGATCCGGCCTTTTACAGCCAGACTAACATCACGAAGGCGCCAAAGGTGGCCCAGATTGGCATAAGCCGCTCTGGCTTTCACTATTCGTGCATTGATCTCATCACTCACGCCACCACCAGCACTTATGCAGCTACCTAGATACACGAACTTCTTGACTATTTCTATCTGCTCACTACCCAGGGTGAGTGTAGGATCAGGGTCCTGCCAGTCTTGTAGAAGTACTTTGCACTTCGAAGGTGCAAAGCACATACCATACCTACGGACACTGATTGCCAACTGATTAAGTGCGGATTGCATGCCTTGGGCATTATTGCACAGTAAGACAATATCGTCCGCATACTCAAGGTCGAGAAGTCTTTCTCCAGGCAACAGATCCGCACCACCATTACTTACATTCATCAGAGCTGTTTCCAGAATGTCATCGATGGCAAAGTTGAAGAGGAATGGTGAGATTGGGCAACCCTGCCTAACCCCACTGCTCGAATGGAACAATGGAGAAAGGTGGTTGTATGCCCTCACTCTGCCTGAGGTGTTTTTATATAGGGCTTTCAGGATGTTAATAAACTTCTCAGGCACACCCTTCTTCAATAGACAATCCCAGAGAACAGTCCTATCCAACGAATCGAAGGCAGCCCTGATGTCAAGAAACACTACGATTGGTGGCCTTTGATAAGTATGGCGGTGTTCTAACATTTGGCTGAGGGTGAAGATGTGATCAATACATCCTCGACCAGAACGAAACCCAGCCTGCTCTTTGCGAGTCAATCTTTCTCGGGTTTTGAACAACCTACGAAAAATGACGGAAGCCAATAGCTTGGACGCAATCGGAAGTAGACTTATCCCCCGATAGTTGTTACAGGAACGACGTGAACCCTTTTTAAAGATAGGGACAACTATCGACTCATTCCATGACGTTGGTACACTCTCTAACACCCAAACCTTTGTAAACAACGTCGTCAATTCCTTAGTCAAAAAGTCACTACCATCTTTAAAAAGAGCCGGAGGTAAGTCATCTGGGCCAGGTGATTTGTAACGCTTCAAGAGTTGAAGTTCCTTGCGGACTTCCTCCTCATTTGGTGGATCAGTCGTCACCGGCCATGGAGGGCAGGACAGTCTGACCGATGTTGCCGGAGCAACAGGCCAGTTGAACTGCCCTTCGAAAAATTCTGCCCATCGTCCAAGACGTCGATGGATGTTAGTGATTGGCATCCCATCATCCTCGCAGATTGTTTCGCTCACACCAGACTTCTTGCTGCCAGTGGCTCGGATGAGCTGGAAGAGCTTCCGGTAGTTACCAGATGCAGCTGCTGCTTCCAACTCATTAGCACGCATCGACCACCAGGCTTCTCGGTCCTTACGCAAGCTTTGCCCAATTTCCTTACGTAACATCCTTCGTTTATGGTCAAACTCACGGTCACCCGGAGTAGACCGACGGGCTTCAATGAGTTGTAAGGAACCTGGAGAAACCCAGTGCTTAAAAGCAGGACGTTTCGCAAACCCACAACTGACTGTTCCCGCCATTTTCATGGCGTCATGCAATTGCAACCAATGCTCATCTATACTTTTCGGTGGAGTGGTAGCTAGCCTAGAGGCTAGCTCGGTTCGATACTTATTTGCAACAGAAGTTGCAACCAGCTTGCTAACATCAATCCTTTGCTGGCGGTCACTTCGTTGTCCACTGAAAAGTAAGGCAAGATTGGTGCAGACCAAGACATGATCAGAGTCCAGATAGGTACTCCAAAAGGAGCGGCAGTCTTGTACACAACCACGCCAGCGGTAGCTGATCGCGATGTGATCAATCTGAGTCCAGGCTTGGGATGCAGAGAGAGGACGCCAGGTGGCACATCGGCGATGACTGTGCCGAAAGTTAGTGCTAACCAGAAACAGGTTGTGGTTTGCACAAAATATTGATAGACGGTTCACGTTATCTGTCCTGCGACCAACAAGTCCCCATCGGCCACCTAAACGACTCTCTTCTGTGTTTAGACGCCCGACCTGAGCATTCAAGTCTCCGGCTAGTACTACAATATCTGTCGAACGCACTTTCTGGAGAAGAACAGATAACTGGTGGTAAAACTCATCCTTGATTGCATCCGGGCTGCAATCTGTCGGAGCATAGGCGGAGATGACGAAAAGACATCGTTTCTCACGCCGATTTCTTCTCACTTTGATGGAACTTTCTAATCTAACAGCACATAACCGACTGTTAATGGGGATCCAATCGACTAGTGCTGCCTCAGCTCTAGCGCTTAGTGCGACACCAACGCCAGCAAGACCAGACGAAGATGCCACAGGGTCTCCGGATAAACGCACGTAAAACAAGCTTTTCGAAGCGACAGATGGAGATCGGACTTGTAGTACTTCGCCAGAGTCTTGAATACGGGTCTCGGATAGACAACAAACATCAATATTAAGACTTTCCAAAGACATAGCCAGCCCTATCTGTTGTCCGATCTGCATAAGTGTGCGAACGTTGAAGGCAGCCAGTTTGAATGGTGCACGTGGTTTCAGAAAAACTGCTTCAGTCCTCGTATTCGGTGGTAACATACAATTTTCAACCGGACAGTGACTCGAGAACGTTTAGATATAGTCGAATTTTCACCAAAGTCGAGCCGCTGTACAAGCATAAAGAGGGTGAATAATGTGGATAATAATAATAATAATAATAATAATAATAATAATAATAATAATAATAATAATAATAATGACAATAATTGTAATGAAAGGTAATTTCCATAGGCATAAAGAGTTCATCAATTTGTGTGTGGGCTGTGATACTGCCTGGGTGCCCAAACCGAAGCAGGTGGTTACCTTAGGAGGCCACGCCCCGAGCCTTTGACCTAAAGGTATAACCCACAAGGCAGTGGAGCATCGTAAGGAGATGCAGTCCCATGGCAGCCGGTGACCAACGATTGGTTCATACGTCATTTGTTCCTGCAGGATACTGGAGCCCATGTGCATCATTGATTTGGAATCCGGTTAAAGCGCCGGACATTCGCCTTTCGTCCTCTCATTTTCGTAAACAACACCCTCGCCACGAGAAGTCAATGAGTAGGACTTCCCTGGCAGAGGCTGTATACGCGTGGCCGTGTGAGAGTATTTCGAGAGGGAGAGCGGACTCTCCCCACTCTCGGCCGTATCAGGGCATTCAGGGGGCGGGGGGGGTGGATACTGTTGAAAAGTCTCAAATTAGGGCAAAACTGGTGTGTCAGTGTTTTTTTGATCTAAGTACTTCCTTTCGCTAGTCACCATTGATCTTCTATATGACTAAGTTAATCACAATCGATTGGCCAGTCTTTAGTTCTGATCGAATTCCCA